TGTCCAAACGGAGCCATACTCTGACGCCTCCTTCTTTTTGTTCGACATCCACAGTGAAAAAAAAACTTTGATTGTTTTCGTCTCCAAGCGATTCTTTGTCGTGTAAGTGTTTGCACTTGTATTTTCATTTCTTTCGACCGCTTTCAGAGATTCCTCTTCTTTTTTTGTGTGTGTGAAAATCATAATGTGGCAGTTCCATTTTGTGGCTGTGTTCCAAAAAAAGCGAGTCAGTTTGGAGATGTTTGGAGGCCCATAACAAGACGGCTTGAGGTCCGGAAAAAAATCTCCACTGCAAAGAGTAGGCACGATGGCCTTTCGCGTTCTGTGAGCGTCGGAAGAAGTCCGGTCTCCTTCCGACTTCAGACATGCCAGTTCATGGCAGATAAGAGTGATGGCTTCATCTGTTGCATGGGCGGAGGTTCGAGAAAGATTGGCCACAGCAAATCTACAGAATCGGATTGAGCTTGCGAAGATGTTTGTCGGGCACATCGATTTGTTGACAGTTTGCTTGCACAAAGAGCGCGTCAATCTTTCGTTGGATCTACCACCGGTGCGCTTTGTTGAGTAGAGTCCGGTTGCTTGGAACTTGGAATGATGACGACATGCTGTCGTTGGAATTCCGCTGTGGCGCGTCTAATGTTTGTCGGCTGGAGGAAGCTGTTGGTGCATCACTCTAAGCCACTTTGTGCTGATTGCTATTGGACTTTGGACTTCTGGACTTTCGTGCACGATGACAGGTACGGGGACTGTTCGTTGTCGGACGCAACAAGAACGGCAGTTGGAGTTCTTGGGATTGGAGCTTCACCTGAAACCTTGGCTGCTTGAGGTGACAGCCCATTGTGGGAAGTCCGCATTCCGCCACTGGTTTCCCTCATGTTTCACCGCTGCTGTCTTTGTTGCTTGGCCTGCTCACGCCAAAAAAAAGAAGTGGACTTTGTGCGCTATTTCCGTTCGCGGGGTGGGATGCACCTAGATCGGGAGGCGGCGCACGAAAACTGCTTCGAGGGGTCCCTTGCGTTCTGCTCGGAGGAACTCCCGGCGGCTCTTCTTGGTAGTGGCGGCCCCTGATCCATGTTGTAAGGAGCCACTGGGAACATCCCAAGCGGGGGAGGTTGTGGGGATCCCTGCTGCGGGTTCTTTTTATGTGCGTGCGGAGAAACGTCGGCTGGGCGTGATCTGGACAAGACTTGGTGTCATTGACTTGCCTGGCTGGTCTCTTATGCTCGGAGTGCTGCAGCGCGGGATGCTTGGCCTCAAAACCAGGCCTCGCTTGCTGTGCGTTGGGCACCCCTTTCCAGTTATGGTTATGGTTCCTTTCCGACACTCGGCCGGTATGGCTGCCACCATACCCATCCGAGGTTGCTGCCCGTTAGTGGCCAGTGCCTGGCTGCCAGTGGTGGTGAAGGCTAGCAAGCATTATGGATGGCAACCTGCCTTCGTGGGGATCGTCTTGACTTTCACAGGCAGCAGCTTCATGACAGGTTCCGTGTCGGCAGGGTTTCATGCTGTTGTCCGCCACACGATGCAGCCATTCTGCTACGATGCGGCCATTGCGCTTCACAATGTTTACTGAAAGCACGGGGGCATTCTTATGAGGCCATTACGCATCTTGCGTGGCCAGCGCCGGGACCATAGGCTGAACGACCGAGTACGGCTGATGCCGTCGACAAGGAGTATATTGTGCTCGTTCTACTTTTCAGCGTGGTGTGCTGCAGCGCGGGCTGATGCCCGCTGGTGGACTGTGCCCTAGCAACCAATTTGGATGACAAACCTACCTTCGTGGTGTTTGTTTTGAGAATTTCAGGCTGCAGCTCCATGGCAGGTTCCGTGTTGGCGGGTGTTTGAAGCTTTTGTCCGCGGAAAGCAGGGCCATCTGAAGGCGCATTTCTGTGAGGCCACTACGCATTTTGCGTGGCCAGCGCCGGGACCACAGGCTGAACGACCCCTGCGGCAAAGCCTGTGCATCGCAGCCTTTGTTTCACATCTGGTTAATCTTGGTAGTCTTGTTTTGCTTAGTTTCTTGCGAGGACCGAGTGCGGCTGATGCCGTCGACGAGGCCTGCCCACGCCAAAACAGTCGCTGAGTGTGGCTTAAGACTGTACAAATCCTAGTGTATTTAGTTTGAGGCCACCGTGTTTCACCTTGTACAGTTTTGTTTTGCGAGTTCTTTGTAGCTGTTTGCCGTCTTTGCTTCGGACCGTCAAGCAGCTGCGCTGCCATTGAGGCCGAACCACCTCCCAATATGACCCTTGCTGCCTTGATGCGCGAACTTCTTCCGGGTCTGCCCCCGCCGCCGCCCGGCGACTTAATTGTTAAATGGCATCTAACTAGCCACAAGCAACCCTTGAACATTTACGCTGTTTTGTCAAGCGTTGCTGCAATCATGCTTCCGAAAGCGTTGTCCGAACAGCTGCTATGTGGAAGCTTTGGTTTGGGAATTTGATGATGTGCCGAAGCGTGTGGCTGACAAGCGGGAAATGGCTTCACAGTAGTCCTGGCAGTCTGTCGAGGCGGCGACGTGAACCAGGCCGACGCTTGAGACATTTTGCTTCGTCATTAGGTTGGGTGTTTCAGGTGCAAAAATAGTGTTGAGAGACACGCTTCTGAACATGCTTTGTTGTTTTCCGACAAAGGCTGAACGGCCGGCAAGTAGGGTACAGCTGGCGTCGTTCTTAGTTGGACAATTGCCTCCCAACCAAACCAAAGTCCAAATATGTCACGATGCAAGTCTCCATTGTCCATGGTGTCCACCCAGAGGCTTTGTGGACATGTCGTCGAAAGTTGAATGTGTAACGACGTTGTTGGAACTCACTACACTCTGGGGTGGACAGCTGAATCATAAAGCAGCCTGAAATCTGAATTTTCTTTGTGGAGGTCACACTCGGCATCGTCGCCATGGATGTGGTGAGCATTGCATACAGTGGATGTGACGTGCCCCAACCTCAAATCGTATGTGGATGTGCACTCGATTCTGGCATCCAGGATATTCTCAACGATGACCTCAAGCGGATATTGGCCTTCTGTTCCTGTTTCTATGGGCTGTGCTACTTCCTCGACGTGCTGTCCCTATCCCTATCGTGCTTGCCATACCGTACTTTTCTTCGTGCGGTGATGCTGCAGTGACTTGTTGCAGTGCCAAACACAGGGCGAAGTTCCTGGAAGACGTTTGCCGATTCGCATCATCAAAGTGCAAGACCTGAAGCCCAAAACGCTTGAAGTTTTGGCTCCGGTCGTTGCGGACCATCAGCGAAGGTTTCGAAGTCTGTGGCCACCGCATGAGCTCGGAGCGCAATTTAACGGGGCAATGGGCTTCTATCTCCGTGTCACGGATGGGGCTGCTGTACGGAGCATATATTACGTTGCTGCATGCGTGTACCATTGTGTGCTCCTAGGCCATCCTGAGTTTGTCTGATTCAGTACTTGGGCCATGAAGCCATAATGGTGCAGACACCCCTTGCCCTGCATGCAAGTTTTGCACTGCTAGGCTCAGGAGCTCCGATAAGTGTTCGGGCTCCATCAGATCAACGAGCTTTGCAAAAAGATTTATCAGTTTCGGTTCTTGCTGCTGTCACTGCTGTTCTTGGCAGTCGAAGTTCTTGACATGGTGGCAAGTTGCACTCTGATTCGCTGCCTCCGGAGTACAGTTCCCACATGTCGCATGTGTAAGCCCTAGACCGCCGAGAAGCATTGGCACATATCAGAGTGGAGCATTAGATGCAAAGCGTTTGGGTTCGTTTTTTTTGAGGCTCTTCCCAATCAGGATGCTGGCGGCTAAGACTTCCGTCCGGCAGTCGCACCTAGCCGGAGTTCGGCACTCTTCTTCGAAGTATTTGCTGACGACCTATGTTCACACGTTGGACTCCTCCCCATTATGTTATTCTGAGAACAGAATCTGCAACCGCGAAAGTACCGAAGTATGGGTGTAGGCCTCGACCTGAACCCCGCAGCCCTAAGTATCTAAACACCTACCGGACATGCTTCTGTCCATGGAAACGAACTCGTTTTTCTCTTGTATATGATGGCGCGGAATCCCTGTCTGAGATTCGTGTTGTAGCAAGCACACTGGCTTCTGGAGGAGTGTAGGCCGCTTTGACCCATATCATGCTCGAGTGGGTGGACTTGGAGTGTAGTGGGCGGCTGATGGACATGCTTTCCTGATGCTTGTTTCAAGGACCAGCATTCCGGGGCTCAGGAATGGTTGGGCCGAGGTTGCCGATTCGCCATCTGTCAATGCTTTCTAGATGCTTGCAGCGTGTAGCTTGGGCCGCTTGTGGAACTATGATATATCTGCAATCTCGATCACGACATGGAGCTTGTTCAAGATTGCAGTCTTGTCAGCAGTCGGTTACCACTTATGATAATCCTGCAGCCAGAAGGGAGTAGAATGGCAGGAATCTCCTGCACAAAGACCGCTGGCCGGCGATGCAGTTGTCGGGACGTGGTCGCCGACGTGCTAGCCCCAGAGTGTGGTAAGCCTGATGGCTCGTGAATTGACCAGTTCCCGATTCTTGAAGCTTGTTTGTCTTTTCATTGTTTCGCCTTTCTTGGCGATGCTTAGCCTTTACTCGTGGTCCTGCTGTATCGTGCTTCGCATACCTTGTGCTTCGCATGCCTTGCGCTTACAAGTCCGAGGCATGCCGTTCTGAGTGTTTTGTCACATCTGCAAGATCGTTGAACACCTGATCTTTGCAATACCTGACATTTACTCTTCCTCCTGCCCACTACTATTGCCATTTGTTCAAAGCCTTCTTCTCTCAGGCTTGTCCAGGCATCACAGGCTTGCTGGAAACTGACTTGAACATGCAAATGCAGAACGACGGTCCAACAAATCTGTAGACCTGCAGACTGTAGACGGTTCAGAAGGAGCTACTGGTAAAGATGGACATGCTTTTATTGAGTAAAGCCATGGAGTTGATGCTGTCCACAATTTCGCAGAGCTTGGTGTCAAGCTGGTCACGTGCCTTCCTTATTACCCTTAAAGTGCTCGACATGGGCTAGAGGCAAGCAGCTTGTGGAGGCGCTGTACAAGTTTACTGGGCCATCCGTGCCGGTCGAGAAGCGAGGTAAGCGCCCTTGCACCTGATCTTTGGTCCTGTCACCCAGAACTCGAAACCCGCCCGCCACCCACTTCTGGCAGGTGACGGAGTTTGCCTACATTCACTTTGTATATCTGTACATGTATATATATATATATATGTATAGAGATATATCTATACATACACACATAAATGGGTATCTGTATGTGTGTGTATACATGTAGCATATACATACATATGTACTGTATGTATGCATGCATGCATGCATGGATGGATGGATCGATGGATGCATGGAGTGTCATGTAATGTAATGTAATGTAATGCAATGTATGTGTGTATGCATATACGTATACGTACATATATATATATATATATATATATATATACATGTATGTATGTATGTATGTATGTATGTATGTATTGCATAGATGAGCTGTACGCAAATACATGTATGTATATGCATATATACGTACGTACATATATATACATATATATATATATACACTGTGCGCAATATATATATATATATATATATAACATATACATAGTATTTATATGACTATGCTTACCCTGAACCCCACCTGACCGCTACTACTATGCGATTAATTCTGGCCCTTCGCGCCCTCCTGACCCCTGATCCGGCTGGTTACCGGTTTGCGAAACCCTTCAGCTGATGGCGTCGCCAAGTGCAACGTATTGACCAACAGAGGGCCCCGAAGGTATAATGACCTGTTGCAGGAGCATGTCCGAAGAAAAATTAAGCGCCTCAAAGATTTAGATTTGTCAGTGGGTGGTGCGCTTGAAGACTAACGCGTGCTCTCAAAGCACGCTTTCGTGTGGCATGCCCGAAAATCCAAAGCCCAAGCCCAAGCCGTGCAGGTAACGACGAAGGCTGCCTGCAGTGGCTGTGGGATCGAGCGCTCAAGCTGGGACGCAAGTCAGACATCGGCAGCTTGACCTGTTTTGCCGGATTGGTGTGAGCTGCTGCCCACATGCACAACACTCAACACTTCATTGCGAAACATTGAGTGCCTGACAGCCACTTGCCGCTAGGTCACAAGTGCGTCCTCGTTCAACGAAATACAGGACGAGATGCAGCCGGCCAGCTGGTGCCTTTGCTATGACTCGGGATTGGCACATCTGGGATTGGGTTGTGAGATTATGAAGTGGTCGGCAACATTCTGAGTTTATGCCCTGCAACCTTGTGGCACTGCAACCAGACCAAGGTCACACACCTTGTGTTCCAAGCATCGCAAGAATGTGCCGATGAAATCAATGCTTCCATGTGCCGACTAGTGCTCATTGATGATCGCAGCTGGGACGGATGTAGACGTGCTACATAGACAGAACGGTTTTGGCTGCCTCGTCCGGTTGTACCAGCACAGCCTCACTCTTGTCTACCAGCTTCTAGCTGATCTTGTGGTGCCGTGCAGTGCAAGACGCTTGTTGCCATGGCAATTTGCACTGAGGCATGTACCGCTCGTCATTGTGCCGACCGGACGGGACATTTGACCTCATGATGAAGCCTGGAGATTTTCGCAACGAGTGTCTTGAGATGCTCCGGTTTGGAGACTACGTGTTCGTCCGACCATTCTCGACAACCAAGACACATATGAATCCTGGTTATCATGTTGGTCTGGTTGCACGTGGCCTCGGATTGCCGGACCTTTTCTGGGTGGCGGCACAGGAGCTTGAGGATCCGAGTGTGCAGGACGTGGTGCTACTCTACATCGCAAGTTTGGAAGAGCAGAGTATCCTGGGCCAGGAGCTGGAAGTACTTCAGCAGTTGGAGCCGCGGTTTCATGCAAGTGTGCTCGTGTCGGACTCGAGCTGCGGCGTCGATCTGGATGTTCTTGCAAAAGCATATCCTTTGGCTGGACCTGCCGAGTCTGTGACTGCGCGGTTTGCTTTCGCAGGGCGATCTCCGTTCATCCAGCAAGCGTTTCATGTCTTGGCTAGCCTTGGTTACCCCATGGCGAGCTCAAAGCTGTTTGGGCCCGCTTGCACGATGTCCACTGTCTTGCGCGGCCTGGGCCGTTTCTTCGGAAAGTCCAGCTCGCCAGCAAAGCTAACTGCTCTGAAAATTAGGTGCTCTGCAGACATGTGGAATGCAAGAGTCCTGCATCGGCATGAGCAGGAGGCAGGCTAAATTTTGTGTACAGCACACAGCCTGTTAAAGGTCTTGAGCCATCCAAAGTGTGCTCCAGGTAAACGCTGGGTGCGGATGTGCTGGACTGCCCTTGAAGAAGGGGCCCCTATGCAAGAAAGATCATACACAATTCCGAGAATCCGTAACTCATCCCAATGAGGCAAGCTATTTCATGCTGCTCGTCGTCGCAAGTAGCGAGTGCCGTCTTTCAAGCATGAAGTGAGTTCGCGGTTTTTGGTGTAGTTTTGGCTCAACTCATACAGCGATCGTCCTGCCCCGCGTTGACAGCTCAACATCGACATGCTGGTGGGAACGAGACTGGGTTTATGGGTTATCGGTGCAGCTGAAATAGCTGAAATGCTTTGGTGAATGCTTGCTTTCCACGCGTAGCAAAGTTTCAATCATCGAGGGCAATCTCGTCTCAGGAACTGCTACCTCGTGCGAAAGACGACCTTGTGCGAGTCCGACGGAGAGCCAGCCGCTTGGCTTTGTATGGGCATGGATCTTCGGGCTGTCTCGCAGGTGGGAAACGGGATGCACACCCACTGCGTTTGGAGGCCCATGTCCACACCGCTGTCAAACGTCTCAATCCAAGGTTCGTCGGCTGGTATTTCAGCCTGAGCAGGGCCGTGTGGACCTAGACCCCGGCATGCGCCAGGTTGTGCTAGTAGACGGACGCTGCTCGACCGACACCTTAGGGATGCACGGTACTTCGCGTGCTCAGCAGCTGATTGTACCGGCTGTGTTTCAATGACCCCTCCAGCCGAGGCATGTACTCGCCGAGCCCTTGCCGGTCAGATGGGACGTTCGACTTGATTGTGCGGATGTACAAGAACGGTAACGTGTCGCGGCAGCTGGGCAGCATGAGGCTCGGCGGGTCTGTGTTCATGCGGCCATTCCCGCCTTCTCTGCCTGCGGACCGCCGCAACCCGGGGCGGCACGTTGGCCTGGTAGCTTATGGTGTTGGCATCACGGAGATCTACTGGACGGCCATGAACGAGCTGAGTGACCCTGGAGTGCAGGATGTGGTCCTCGTCTATGCCACCCGTGGCTGTGCTGGTACTAGTACGCGTAGGTTCTGTGCCTGTTTCATGCTTTACATGGCGGCGAAAGAGGCAATCTTTCATAGATTTTTGTTGATCCTGGGCCCTTTCCGCGGTGTCGAGGCACGATGGAGGAACAGAAGGTGTACGGTCCGGAGCTTGAAGAGCTGCAGAGGCAAGAACCACGTCGCTTCCGCCTGGAGAAGGTTCTGTCTCGGCAGCGAGTGCAGGGCGCTCGCCATGGAAGGGTCAATGCCCAGCTGCTCTCGGAAGTCTTCCCTTGGTCACGAACTTCGGGTTCCCGGGCTGAGGCGCGCTTTGCAGTGGCTGGCAATAAGGAGATGATCAACACAACCTTCGGCTGGTTAGCCGACATTGGCTATCCGGAGTCTTGCAAGCTGATACGAGATCTGTCAGTGTCGTCCCTTTTGTCGCGCCGCTTTCGTGCCTTCTGGGGCGCTTGAGCTAGCGGGCTTCTGACCCTTCGCGACACTCTTCGCTGTGTGAGCTGGAGCTTGATTTTGTCACGGGTCGTGACACCGTGAGGGCAACGTGCGCCAGACAAGCCTGGGCACAGTGGCCCCAGTGCCGGCTTCTCAACACATGTACAGTTGTCGGTCGTTTGTATGAGAAGGCTGATGGGACAATGACAGGAGGGCTTCCGGGCTTCTGTGAGCTGAGTTTCCAAGCCAGCACCATGTTCCGGTCTCATACTGCCTGCTTCCTTATGTCATGAACGGGAGAAGAAAACTCAATTGCGACCGGCACAGACCATTTGAGCTTCAAGCTGTCTGCAGCAAGACCGATTGCTTGGACAAGCTATGCATCCGATGGTCAGCGTGTCTGTCTTGCCGCTTGGAGCATGGGAGATGTAGGAGCTGTATCGAGACAGCAGGTGCTGTGTCTGTCTAGGAACCATTTGCATCTCGAATGTTTGGCACAGCAGCACGAAGCGTCACAACCAGGGCTTTGGCGGTCACGTCCTGGCAGGAATCATGAGCGCAAATTCGAGGCGACCTTGCCAGCGTGCAAGTGGCTTGATGAATGCAAGGAGGCAGTCGACTCAACACGGGTGCAGAGATTTGCCGGCTTTTCTCGTGACATGTCAGTCGGCAGTCTGTCGACCTTGACAATTCGTTTCAACTCGGCATCCAGCGAGATCCGGCAAGTGTGGGGACCAGAATCATGTCGCCCCTGGTTTAGCATGAACTTCACAAAGTTTCTTAACAGAGCTTTGCCACAACCTCATGGTGAATACAGTTTCGCTCCGTCTGCGCAGGTCCAACAGCTCAGCTATGCAGAGTTAGCAACAAAGACGAACCAGGTCTGTCGCGTGCTGCAACAGCACGCACGTCCCGATACTTGGCAGATCGCAGTGTGTTTTGCGGTGTTGCGGACGTAGTCAGAGGTTCTTCTTTGCAAGTGCATCGATCCGAGCCCGGTGGGCGCTATCTGCAACTTTCTGTTTAGCATGCAAGGCTGTGGGCACGGAGGAGACCCTGAAGCCAATTGTTGCTGCGCTCTATATGGGTAAGAAGACGCATCCCGATATGGTGCCAGTGTTACTAGGCATCACGAAGAGCGGCGGCTCGACAACAGGTCTTGATGTTGCTGTGCATCCTCAGGGAGCCTTCGATGTTGCATCATTGAACTCTAGTAGACATACATGTCTGTGCTTGAGCTTGAACGAGCGAGAGCCGGACATGATTTTGGTAACAGACGCAGAGACCCTACGATGCTATCCTGACAAAGCCTATTCAGCTCGGCGTGACCATTAGGTATCGGATATCAGTTCTTGCAAGCCGATGGTCGATGTTTTCTGCATTAAAAGCATCAAGACCACCGGCTCATCATCCAGTGCTTCGACGTCGGCAGCAGCAACAATTATTGAATTAAAGGACCGGATAACCCCACATGAGCCTCGTATGAGCACCAAATGAGTTCAGAGGAAATTAGTTGGAATATGAATGTTTTTGTGTGTGTGTGTGTGCGTGTGCAGGTGTGTGCCATGTTGTTGATGGTGCATGGGTGGTGTGTCGGACGGGCGCGTGCGTGCTTTTTGTTTTGTGCATTGTGTGTTGTGTGTATTGTGTGTGCTCCCCACCCTCCCCCATCAAGTGGTGCAAGTGGTCAAGTGGTGCAAGTAATCCAAGTGGTTTTTGGCAAGTTTGCGCGCCAACAAATCCTGCAAGATTGGCATACAAACTCGGTCAATTATCGGCAAGCAAACTACCACTACCACTACCACTACCACTACCACTACCACTACCACTACCACTACCACTACCACTACCACTACCACTACCACTACCACTACCACCACCACTACTACTACTGCTGCTACTACTACTACTACTACTACTACGACTACTGCTACTACTACTACTGCTGATACTGCTATTGCTAATGCTGCTGCTGCTGCTACTACTGCTACTACTACTACTTCGACCACCCGTATGCAACAAACCAGCACCTCGCAGGCTAATAAGATCAGATCCCGCGATCATGGCTATGAGGCACAGTTGCTACACAAAGCTTCTCAAACGGCACTGGACTTGCACACTATGGACTAGCTGTGTAGTCAGCCTGCTGCACCGCACACCGATGCCGATGCAAGCGTTTTTGTCAACATGGACAACTAGCACTATGAGGTGCCCCTTTCACATTCTCTACAAACCTGCTCTGAGCTACTCCGGTCCCAATTCCGGAGACCGACATTTTCGTACGGCTGACAACCTGTCATCTTTCAGACACCAGCTGGTTGTCCATCTAGCCTCCGACCAGTCGGTAGGGGCGAGGGTTGTGAGCGGCTGCCACCCGCTCACGAGACCGAAACTCACCTTCGTGGTGAGGGACGGGAAGCCGTGGCAGGAGCCCAATGAACTACACTCTGCTGTGAGGGCAGTCTTACGGGACCCCCCACACAACCACACTATTCGCTATGACCCAGGAGTCACTCTAGGTACAGCCTGTTCCCCTAGCATGACTTCCTCTCTGTTTTCAGCCATCTGTTCATCGTGGGCTGGTCAAGGAGACCAGACTGCAGGCCCCTGTGGCGTGCCAAATGGCATGGGCAAACCACTGCCTGGATATGCTCCACCGCAGTCAAAGCCCTGGTATTTCTTCCTCTACAAACAGGGTCTTCCTATTCGCCTTGTTGCCATCTGGGCTCCAGCACTTTCACACCTTACCTCTCCAGGCCTTCCTCGTATTAGGAGGCCTCCCTCTGGAGTACAACCATCAACACCTGCCACCCGATCTACCAACACTGCTGACAGGTGTCGCCCCCCGCCGCACATTGACCGATCTGGTGAGGCCCCTGGCATGTCGACTCACCCTAAGCTGTGCCCTCGCCCTCTCCTTTTCCTCTCGACCATGTTAGCTCTCCCAAGGTCGGTCTGGGGAGTGCCCTCTGCACACCCACTGCACTCTGCAGTAGCGGGTCACTCAGGAGAACCCAGGCCGGTTGCAGCCAACCCCACAGAGTACACATTTGCAAGGAAGCGATCTTACAAACGTGCCGTACGACGTGCTGCACAGGACCAGGCCCAGCATACGGTATATCGGGGCCGTGTTTGTACCCTGCAGCAGCTCTGCAGAGGCTATCGGGGCCATCGGCCAGCCCCCCCGGCTGAGCGTCGTATGCAGCAGGCCGCTCTGAAAGTCTCGCAGGGTCGCTTGTTGTTCCTCTCCTGGAATGCCGGAGGATTGTCCCAGGCCCTGTGGCAGGAATTCTTATTAACACTTGAGAATATGCCGCCTGAAGATCGTCCCCAGATCGTGTGTGTTCAGGAAACTCACTGGACGGATAAGGTGGCACCCCAATTTCCCACTGCTACGTGGGATGTGTACACTTCTCCGACCACTGATAACAAATCTGCTGGGCTCCTGATTCTACTCAACAAGCAGACTACCCGTAACTGCAGAATTGTCTACGCCGACCCTCAACCGGGTAGGGTGCAACACCTGAGGATACTCCATGACCAATGGGCAGTCGACTTGCTGCACATCTATCAAAAGCCGCACAACTCTCATCCACTCGCCCTGCAATCTTCCAAAACCATTCGTTTAGCTGTTTGGGAGTGCATTGGTAAGATCATTGCGGCCCTACCTGCCCGCAACACGGTGATCATGCTTGGAGATTTTAATACCCAGATCAAGCCATGTGCTGCAGCTGGCTCCAGGATTTGTTCTGGCATCAGCTCGGGAACACATCCACCTGACCAGGCACGGCTGCAGCATCTTGTCGAGGACTTCTCCCTCCTTCATCTCAATTCATGGTGCAAGGCTGCTGGCCCTACGTACCATCACAACAAAGGTGCCAGCCTCATTGACCATATTATCATGCGTGCTTGCCAAGCGGATGACCGCGCTCGACAGGCCAAACCTCTCCGCCTGGGACTAGCTGCATGGAGACTTGGTGGCTACCATCTACCACTGAAGGCCAGTATCCCGCTTCAGCGCTTCCACACTCTTAACAAACCGGTGGCACCACAACGGGCATGGGACCATTGGGGCCTGATTCAGGTTTGCCGCTCTGCCTGGGATCCGCGAGTTCAAAGTCTACGTTCTGCCGTTCAGGCATCCCTGCCTGGGGTCACTGACCTTGGGCAATTGCATGCCACTCTGATTCACTGTGCATCCCAATTTTTCCCGCCGCCCACAGGTCAGCACCGGCTGGCACTATGGCAGACACCACCTATGCAGGATGGTATTCGATCCATGTGGCAGGCCTACCGAGCCTGGAAGACTGCCAAAGCTCAAGATCGGCACAATCCGCTTTATGTATCCAGGTGCTATCATCACTTCAAGACGGCACACAAGGCCTTTCGTCGTGCCGGGAAAGAAGCTAAGAAGCACTGGTTCCATGGCAGGCTCCAGGAATTACAGGTCGCTGCCTGTTCGGGTGACTCCCGCAAACTTTACGCTGGCATACGCACCCTAGCTCCCAAATCCTCCAAGCCGAAGGTTCAATTGCGAGATTCTGGTGGTCATCTGCAAGACCCTAAGATCCAGCTTCAACAGCTGGAAACGCACTATCGTAAATTATATGCTGCAGATGAGGATACCAGCATCCGGGGCCCCCAGCGGACGCCCATTCACATCGAGGTCACGGAGGCAGAAATGACCCTGGCACTTTCGCAATTGTCACCCCACAAAGCTACACCTCCGAATCTAGCCACAAACTCTCTATGGAGGCTGACCTCGGACATTGTCGCGCCTCTCTTGTGCCAATGGTGCCGGCAATGGCCTCATATACCAGAGCTATGGCGGAATGCATGGTTGACTCTTGTTCCTAAGATTCCGCGACCACTCTCACCAAAGAATCTCAGACCAATAGGGTTAACTGAATCCAGCGGCCGCGCATATGCTTCCATACTCCAGGCGAAATTGCGCCCCTATGCAGAGAGGTTCCTTGCGGATCAGGCACAATTTGCATATTTACCAGGTCGCAATGCTGCCCAAGCCATACATCGGGTTGCTGCACACTGCAAGTATGTACAGGATCGCTGCTCGATTTCAACACCCACGGTTGTGGATCGTCACGCACAACAGCCGAAACCCTGCCCACATTTTGCAGGTGCACAACTATCGCTGGACTTGTCCAGCGCTTTCGACCTCATGGACTGGCGCCTGCTGGACAAGGCTTTACTTGCATCCGAAGTTCCGGCTGAGTTAAGACACCAAATCATGTCCTGGCACTCCGAGATCTCCTATGTCCTTACCCACCTTGGGCACACTGCCAAAGTGGAGGCCCAAAGAGGACTTAGACAAGGGTGTAAACTGGCTCCGTTGCTCTGGACACTTGCCCTGACACAGATATATCGTGAGCTTCTTGCAGAGGGGGACTCGCTCCTCACAGCACCTTGGCTAGAGCAAAGCTCCACGATTTATGCAGATGATATACATCTCAAAGATACCGTGCAGAATTCTCGTGAGCTGGACGACATGGTGTATCGCTTTAGTAAGATCCTCGATGCTCTTGCTGCCCATGGTATGGTCATCAACTCGGCCAAATCAGCACTGTTGCTGAGACACAAGGGAAGCTTCATCAAAGGCTGGCTGCGACGACATCTCACACACACACACCTGAGGGAGACCTACTACGTTTTCGTAGCCCACTGGGAAAGGTGTATGAAATCCCGTTGCGTGACCATCACACGTACTTAGGCATTCGCATCTCATATCATTCCCAGGCCAAACAAGCAGTCACCTATCGGCTACAGGCTGCGAACCAGGCATGGCAAAGACTTCGTGGTGTATTGTGCTCTACCAGGCACCTTGCTCAGACACATCGTCTCAGTCTATGGAAATCCACAGTGCTTCCCACGCTGCTCTATGGCATCGCGGCATCCAACCCAGGTGCCAAGGATATCCAGCGTATGCAGCACATGATGACCAAGCAGGTCCGAGCCATCACTCGATCTTTTGCACATCTTCAGAAAGAATCCACACATGACCTCCTGCATAGATGCTCTCTGTCCACAATACTGGAGCATCTCCAGAGGGAAGCCGCCGCCTTGCATCGCAGCCTGACTAGCCTGAGTACTCAAACGAGTTTCGTGACCCAAGCCCAGGTGGAAACAGCTCGAGACACTGCTGCTACGCTCCACCTACAAGTACAACGCCAATGGCAGGTACCTCTAGGTGACAAAGAGGGCATCACCGAACCTGCTGTACACCAGTGCCAGGAATGTCACCGGGTCTTTACCTCCTTTCGGCTACTACGCTCTCACGAGGCTAAATGGCATGGACTTAAGACACCAGCTGCTGTCCCAGTGCCTTTTGATAGGTATGCTCATGGAACAGAAGGACTCCCAACCTGCAGACATTGTGCCCATCCCTTCCGACAATGGGATGGACTTGTCAAACACATCAAACGCAATCGGTGCCAGGTACTCCGTAGACTCGCCACACAATCTCCCGATGATGCCCAATCCTCGGTTCCGAGATCAATTGAATCCGGTCCTTTACCAGTCCCTGCATTGGTCACCCTGCCCCCTCAGGCATCCTCTCAGGAGACCCACATTCTCCAGGAGGATAAAGCTGCTACGCCTACTACCATTCCCGATGTAATACCTGAACCCCCTGTCACAGATGTTCCAATGCAGGAAAACTCCACCACACCGAGCCATGAGGCTGTTCCCCTTCATCAGCAATCTCATGTTCTTGATGTACTACGTGCACGCAGGTGGACTGACCTCCTTGAGAAGCCGGAGATCCAATCGTATCTCCAGCACCATTGCCCGCTGTGTTATCAGTGGCTAGCCACTCCCACCAGCATCAAGTATCATCTCACCATGCAACATCCAGAGTGGAAAGACTGCCAACCCGCGACTCTCAAGCTCCTTACCGGTTTCCGCCGACACACTGTAGTTCCGTGTCGATACTGTCATCAGCGAAACATCAACAAAGATCGACATTGGAAACAGTGTCATGTTCTGCATATCTGTGCATTTCTAGCAGCGCATCATGACGCTCACCGCGGATCCCATGGAGCTGGACGAACAGGAGAGGCAATTTTGGGCCCAGGCTGGTCCGGTCAAGCGGGAACAGGAACCGCGAAGGGATATGCTGCAACCAGCCGAGCAATCCAAGAGGCAGCGCCTGGCACCGCAGGATCGGAACAAGGGCAAGGGCAAGGGTACCAAGGGCAAAGGCAAGGGAAAGCAGGGCCTACCAAGTCCACCAAGTGCACACCCGACCATGGGTTACACAAATGGTTTCGGAAGCCACCCACCCAATCCCTGGACACAGACACAGGACCTGCAGCCACTGGGAAGTCAGGATCCCGAATGGATGGAGTACAGGATGAACCGACTGTCTCAGCTGGTCTTTCGTCAGGAGCAAATCATCTCAGCCATCCGTCAGGATCTGGTCCTCTACCTCTTTGTACGATCTGGACCAGAAGGGATGGTGCCAGTTCTATGCGATGCAGCGGAGAAGTGGAGGAAGATGAAAGAGGAAGAGCCCGAGAAGATCACTTACTCCCTCAAACTCATGCTATTCAAGCAACTGCTCATCACCTTGCATCAGAGGTTGACCACTATGATCGCGGACGAGGATGCCCTTGCCAAAGCCAAGAACCTGAACTGGATCGACGATCAGAAACATTGGAAACATCTCACATGGAATCCCTCCAAACAGTGTCTGGAAGTGGACAACTCAGTGAGGCCAATACCGGCGGAGGATCTGTTGGCCCAACTGGTTCAGATGAGGAAGGCTGTTACGGAGGAGACCCTGGTGAGATTCAAGTCCATGCGGAAGCTCACCACGGAGGTGACCTCCGACTGGATCCAATTCCAGATCTGCTTGTCACTTCGTCCAGAGGGTGGAGCCATGTGGAGCACGCTGAACCAGTGGATCGGTCAAGCATCGTGGCACACACTGGGATGCAGGCTCCGTCGAGATCGACCGAACTACGACACCCTGGTCCAGGAAGTGTGGCAGCATCAGATGCCGTACTGAGTGTGCGTCCCAGTCTCAAGGCAGTTCTTCGATTGATCCTCCATAATCCATCGAATTTGTGCTACCTACACTCTAGCATCTATGCCCTTCTGTGGACAATCCTTCAGGCCAGGCTACATGATGCATACATCTCGCCTCCACCGCAGGCTCTTACCATGCTGTGTCCACCAATCACTGATTCGCCCAATTGCCCCATTCAGGTGCTTCATTCGGTACCGTGGCTTATGCTGCTGCAAGCTTGGCCTTCTGTACACCGTCAGCATGATGCAGCTGAGTTGATACAATACCTCTTACCCAGGTTCTCGCATAGTGGGTTCAATGGTGGCTGGGAGGCCAGAAACTTTGCACCTGGAGGTATTGTTACTCTTGACATGGGGCCTACCCAAGCTCCAATTCCGATTGCGCTACCGGCAGGTCCAAGCTTGGAGCTTCAGGCAGCCATTGATGGGTGGAGTGCTCAGGTCACAGCCCGTTATGCACTGCTGACCCCGTCTTCGCTGCTCTGCATACAACTTCAGCGATTCACGAATGCCGAGGGAGTCATGCGCAGGGACACCAGACCAATGGCTATGGCCTCGACTACAGTTCGTATGCCACTCTTTGCAGGGCTGAACACTATGCAAGTTCGATATGTTCACTATCAGGTCGTCGCTGTACAGCTTCACTATGGGGCCACTCCTGATATGGGGCATTACAGAACTATACTACGAGGGCAGCCGCTGTTTGGCGCAGAAAAATGGTGGATCACTGATGACTCCTGCACAGCCAAGTCAGTTGGCACAGAACATGATGGCAACATATATATAGTGTGGCTTCGTCAGGTACTTCCACCTGGAGCCTGATGCTGAGCAAGTGTAGTCTTAGTGGATGGAGCTGGCACTGCCCTCCAGAACCCAACAGAGGTTCCGATACCCCGAATACCGGGCTATCGTCAGCTCGCTAGGCGAATCTGGATACTTTCGCTGCGTGGTGAATGAATACTACTACTTCGAATACGACGACAACGACCACCACTACCATCAGCACCTCCACCACCACCTCCACCATTGCCACTGCTAATGGTGCGGCTACAGCTACCGCTGCTGTAATTGTGGGTGCCAGTGCTGTTACTAAGCCTCATGCTGCTGCTGCTGCTTCTGGTGCTGCTGCTACTGCCACTGCTACCCGCTGCTTCTATTGTTGCTTCAGCATGTGCTGCTTGATTAGAACCAGTTCGCAGACTTCACAGAACTGTCGCATGTAAGGATCGGCCTGCATCGTGCTTCTGGCCAGTTGGGCAGAGCAGCGCATCAAGAGCATTCTTGAGATGTGCGCCGGCCCTAGCTTGTTCTGGATGTTCTGGCCATCCACGTGTCTCGCTGAAGCACGCACATACACAGTATCTCACCGTGGTATGCCGAGGCACAAGTTGTCAGCATGTCTTCGCCGTGGCAGCTGAGAAGGGTGTCTGTGATCACGTTCTTGGTGCAGGAAGCCAGCGGCAGGTGACTTTGCTAGGAGGCGCAAGTAGCTACCGGAGGTGTCTTCTCGGTGCTTAGCTGTGTGAGGTGAGCTTTGTGAACGAAAGCTTCTGGCAGAAAGTGCCCACGGAAGCAGTGCCGGCGCAACCAGGGAAGGTCTGTGCCATCGTTCACACTAGCGGCTCGACAGGCGCCTTGCTCTTGGCCTCGTGTTTTGCTCAATAGATCTCAACAGATCTTTGGGCGAGGCCGACCCAAGGGTGTGATCATTACGCACGAGAACATCCGAAGGGTTGTTGAGGATGGCCTCTTAGTCGCAAAAGGTATTGGCACGATGATGTTGGGTCTGATCGGCAGCCTCACTTTCTCAAAAGCAGAAGATCCCCAGCATAGTGCTTTTTCAGATGGGAAGTGTCCATTCAATTTCATGTTTCGAACGATGTGTAGGCTCATCTGCCGCTTGTTCCGAACCGTTTTCTGCGGAAGGCAAGCATGGGGTGCCTGATTTCCAGATGTAGGCTACCCAGCACAAGGCATCACGAGAAATGCGGCTTGAGATCAGAGACCAAATCGCACGGGCTAGTTAACGCACGTCGCGCATGAGACGGTTGGAGGTTTCCGAGCAGCCAGCCGAGGAAGATTGCTGCCAGAGGATGAAAGAAAGTCACTGGCCGGCTTCTGAGTGTTCACCGACTCTGTGTAGGCCTGGACTCCCTGCATCTGTTGCAGGTCATGCTGCAGCAATCGGCACTCTCATTCGACGTATTCATGTTCGAGCTGCATGCTGCAATCTACCATGGTGGAACTCTCGCCCTCACCACTGATCATGCAGATCTGATGGCGGCTTAGTCGAAATACATGTCATATGTCCCAATCTGTCATGGTTTTGTCTACGACAAGTGACAAGTTGATGACCCAAGAGCGATCCAATCAACCGTCAGACCGGCGACCGGTACTCGGATTCCAGGAGCTGGACGGGGGGGCACTGCTCTGCATGCCGCGCTGAGGACACGAAGGACCTCATTTCCAAGTGTGCCGTGACGCATTGCTGCATAACTGCGAGACTCTTCGACTGCATCGTGGACGATATGCCAGACGTACTAGCTGCTTAGCTTGCAGCTCAGTCCAGTCGAGAGTGCGCCGCCTGTGAGCCTTGCCGCCTTGCTCGTCTATCCTTGGCCTTGGAAACGCTTTTGATTGGTTGTCATGCGGCTTTCTTGACGGAAGCACCGCAAGGCTAGGCATTTTCAAGAGGTCGTGTGTTCTGCCTGATCTAGTTCAGTCTACGGACTTCATCGGCCTTGCTCGCCTGGGAATCAGCTTGCAAGCAGGAAATTATCCTGTTTAAGCTGTGTGCTTGCGTGGCCCAGACCTTTAGCAGCACACAGCCGAAGCAAAACCTGGACAATTGTTCATCAAGAGAACCTAAAAGTCAACGATGTTGCAGCAGCGGTTTGCCAAGGCTAGTGAAAGCCTCCGCCGAATCTACCTTGTCGGAGAAGCTGTATCTTTGACGCACGTGAAGCGAGCCCGCGAGAACTACACACATTTCGCACTCGTCAACGCATATGGGCCAGCGGAGAACGGCGTGCCTTGACCTTCTTTGGAACGTTGGTTTTTTGATTCATTCTGCCTGGTGCACTGCAGGGAGGTTGGGTGTGGGAAAGAGTCGAGTCCAGTGTCTCTTAAGACTGCTTCATCTTCCAGGCCAGCGCAGCAGTGAGCGTCCGGGTTCTGCCTTTCTGGTTTGGGGTCCGATCCGCTGGATAAAGACACTAAAGCCTTAGTTAAGAAACATTCTTGGATATCCATCCATCATCCATGATGCAGCATGCATCCATTCATCCATCCATGCATGCATGCATCCATCCATGCATCCATGCATCCATGCATCCATCCATCCATGCATCCATGCATCCATCCATCCATGCATCCACGCATCCATCCATCCATGCATGCATGCATCCATGCATCCATGCTTCCATGCATCCATCCATGCATCCATCCATCCATGCATCCATCCATCCATCCACCCATCCATCCATCCATCCATCCATCCATGCATCCATGCATCCATGCATCCATGCATCCATCCATCCATCCATCCATGCATGCATGCATCCATGCATCCATGCATCCATGCATCCATGCATCCAGCCATCCAGCCATCCAGCCATCCAGCCATGCAGCCATCCAGCCATGCAGCCATGCGGCCATCCAGCCATGCAGCCATCCAGCCATGCATCCATGCATCCATGCATCATCCAGTCATCATCCAGTCATCATCCATGCATCATCCATGCATCATCCATGCATCTATGCATGCATCATCCATGCATCCATACATCCATCCATTCATCCATCCTGCCGGGGGAATACAAGTCATCTTGGCCAGAACCCAGCTCTATTGTTGGACGGGAGTGTTTGATCGTTGTTTTGGGGCAGAGGAGGGCTTAACGTCTAGGTTCCCAGGTATACAGCACCATCGTGGACATTGCCACGTGGGCGGATTGCCATCCCGACTGCGGGGACAACACGATAGGCTCGGCACAAGCCTGGCATTGTTGACCCAGCCTTCGTCCAAGCTATGACAGAAGCTCGAAGAGCTTTCCAGCGAGATCTCTTGGTTTGCAAAGCCGGCCACTGCATGACAACCGCACTCATTACGTAGGATGCGCGCCTACGGAGATGACAAGACTAGACAACATACTGGACGAAATTGTGTGTCAACTCGGAGAGGTTGGTAGGCTTGACGCATCTTGTCAAAGAGGCCGAAGGCAGACAATTTACATGACCAATTGAGTTGATGATCTTGGCATGGGCAGCTCAGTTGCCAAGTCGAGTTCTGGCAGGCCAACCAGTTGAACGCACCACGTGCTACGTGCTGCCGCGGGGTTGCGAGCCAACTCACGCCCAGGCGGACTCCATGCGCCCGCAAACGCGCTTACATTCAAAGCAGAGAGAGAACTTTGGGACATTTTGGGACTACTAGTATCAATACTACCCGACTGGGCTTGACGTGCTACTGAAATATCACGAAATATCCTTTCGTTGCTTTCATGCCATGGCTGTCACCAGGTGCGACAGTGCGAAATTGACGAAGAAGGCGAACTATGGGTCCATCTGTCAGGTTTGATTCCCCCTCCGAGGCTTGATGAGGCCCACGAACTGAACACTGAACACGGTACGTCTTCGCCAGGTCGGGGGGGATGGCGTCTCGCCCGGCTACTATGGATCCGAGACCGCGACGCAGGTGCGCCGCTTGTGGCCACTGCGCTGGCTTCATCCGACTATCCCGGTCAGACTTGCGGCAGAATTTTGATGAATAAAACCTTGAGCTTGCCTTCAGGAGAGATTCCGGCCGGATCCTTTTTCCGGCGGCAATGGCATCTTGTACCGAAGCTCGGCGAAGGCATGAGAGATCATTCAAAGGTGTAATGGTCGTACTTTCGAGCAGGGTAGTTTGCAAGGCTCTATCTTGCCGAGCCCAGGAACTGGCGATCTGGTCATCAAGCGCAGTGATGGAAACCTAGTTTTCCGCGGGCGCGCTGACCGGCAGATCAAGCCTGCTTCCCAGTATACTGCAGTGCTTTGGTGGGTTTGTCAAGCAAGCCTGGGAGTGGCCGAAACATGCTCAGTAAACGAGCTTTTGCTTCCTGATGGCTTTCTGGCAACTCCGTCTGAAATTAGCAGCTTCTCCGGAGGGTGTTGCTGTCGCAGAGCTTCGCTTGCCACCAGGGTTTTATCCCTTTCTGATTTCTTGAACCCGTTCCAGAGCGGGGTCGACACCAAATCAACTGCGCAAGACGCAAAGACCCGTGACAGATGTTGCGCCTCGAGGCGTTGAGGCCTCTCAGAAAACTGTCGGGGCTCTTGCCAGAGGTACGAAAAAGGAGCAATAGAAGAGAAACGGGCAAGCAAGAGCAATTGAGCGGGACACTGCGCATGCCGCGAGACCTTGAGAATCGAATCCCCGAACCAAATGCTGTCCTGCACGGGCACATTTCGTGTGAAAGCTGACTTGCGGGTTGACGTTCCTGGCTTTCTTGATTCTTAATTCTGTGTCACCCCTAAGACACTACGGCGAGGGTTTATAGGCATTGAGGGTCTAATGTAGGCACCCTTGATTGTTCGGTGTCATACGCATTCGGCGCGAAAGTGCCTCGGCACGGTCGGTAGCAGGCTGCGTGGTCATCGAATTGAGAAAGATGGAGTGGAGATGCTGATGTGCTGCTTTGCTTCAGTAGCGATTATGCGGGGGCGGTTTTTGCACTTGTCACATTGATATATGTGTATATTTAATACGGTATACGTCCATGTAGATGTAGATGTATCAGAATGTCTTTGTATACGTATAAGTGCATGTACATGTGCATGTGTACATTGTGTGACAGGAAGCCGAGGCCACATCTCGTTGGCAGGGGTTTCTGGTATCAGTGATAGTGAACTTTAATCAATCTCTGCTTGCCCTGGTGCCATCGAAGGCAAGGATGCTGGAGTGCGGCAGTGCTGTGTTGTGCTCAACAATGAGCAGCTGGTGGCCTGCTACGTCGGTGAGTTGGCAGCAGGCTTCGCTCAGAAGTGGCGTGTGACCGCATGCTGGTAGTAGAGATGGGGAGGAACAGTGCGCGTTCGTGGTTTTGACTCGAAGCCCTGCGGTTAAATCAGGGAAAGGCAGCAGGGAGGCGGCAGCACCACTTGAACAATGATCACATAAATATCACGCACGACGAACGAACGTGGACTTCACGTTCGCAAGTAAATCTGATCGTTTACACAGAGACGCCGTGTCTTAGTCTGAAATGGCATTCTCGGAGCATCTAGCAGAGAAGCCAGCGTTCTCCATTTCGCCTCGTGCAGGCGAAGATGGTGCGAAACAGGCTTTGCTTCGCTCACTGGACGCAGCGAGCGTGCCCACACGTTTCGTGAAGCTCCCCAACTTCCCCCTGCAGCCTGGCCGAAAGTCCCATGGAAATTCCTGCTGGCTCCTCTGTCCATTGCACGTACACGCTGTCTGACTTTACATTGTCAAGGGCAAGGCCTGCAGTTTGGCAGGTGTCAGATAGGTTGCCGTTGTTTGTTCCTGGCCGCATTCTGCATCGAAGTAACTTGAATGCTGCACTGTCAGAGCGGAGAACTGCCTCGTGATTCAAACAAATTGAGCCCACCTGACCTCGCACGTGGTCTCAACGCATTGGCGATGGGATGTCCCAGCTCCGAAACTCTCGAAACCGCGCCAAGCTCCGGTTTTTTGGTGCAACGACGGTGGAAACGACTCACATGTCCCTAGCCTGTATAGCCGAATCGGTAGGTTGGGCTCTAGTGACTCTGGTATGCAGTTGGACTTGCTAGAATTTCTGGCCGTATTTTGCATTTGGTGTTCCTAGGACCCCGAACGGCAAGACCGACGAGGGGAAGCTTCAAGCAGAGCTGCGTCGAAGGACAGTTTGTGGAGCCTAGAGCACAAGTGCTGTGTCCGAGATCGAGAAGCAGAAATCCTACGGCTGTGCCGTAGCCATAGCTCGCTGTCATGAGGGAATGCTGAAGTCTGATCAGCTCATTTCCGGACTGATCCAGTTTGCTGGGGATTCTGCTTCTTCTTCGAGATCTGGGGAATGCATCTCGTTGCCAGCCTTCAGGACTTTGTCAGCCAAAGTCCTGGCATTCTTGCGAAGCGAGCTGAGCGAAAACTTCGAAGAGGACATGGGCATCCGTGAGTTCGGCGTTTTCTCGCTGAAGGCCCAGATGTCGGTAGCGTACTGGCAACGAGAAGCTTTGGAGCTAGGCCAGGGAAAACTCTCAAACATGGAGTCTCTGTGAACGCTTGTCTCTTCTGTATATCTGTGCAGAGGGCCGGAGTCCGAGGGAAAATGCACAGATAGCTTTCCAGAGCATGCTCGCTGTAGAGACTGTTCGAGTTCTAAATCCTGAGTGAATCAAAGGTTTGTGTCGCCAGGATCCTGTATATAGAGACCGGGAAGTTCATTGATCCTTTATCATGATGATACGACGGGGTATCCTCCAAGAAGGGAGTGCCGGAACCCGACAAACAGCGGTGGGTATCAAACTCGCGACGTGAAAAGGGGGCCCAGTTGAAAGGAGTGGGAAGGAATGCGGTGTGCCCTCGAAACGGGCACCGAATGAAATGGCTCGGAAGAGACACGCACCCCGACACAGCAGTCGGATGGAAAGCAGGTAGCTTGCATGGTGTTGGGCTGACGAGCTGTGAATTTAATTTGCAGGCGATAATGTCAACTTATCTGGAGCTTCTGCTGAGTAGCTGAGGTTAAAGTGCAAACATCGCGAATCAAGAGCGCGATACGTAGGACAACTTAGACACGGAAAGCAAGCAGTGACAATGCCGTGCGCTTCCCTCTGCGAGAGTTCATTGTGTCGCGAGTTTACAGTAGGTTATTGCTGCTTGGAACAATGCTGGAGCAGCAATTCATGGTCGGCTGTTGCTCCGTCGGTTCGCGCTGTGACACACGATTGCGCAGGCTGTGAAACTCCAGATGAAGCTGACAAAAAGCCTGTCTCTGAGCAAGACGCTGGAGGCGTCCGTCTTGAAAAGCGTCGCCGAGATCGTGAACTGGATCGTGTCCGGGATGCATCTGGTACCGGCAGTGCGGCGATTTACTCGTCCTTCGATGCTCCAGTCTTACTTGGATTGCCTGTACATGTGAGCCGGTCTATCATTGGTTAATTGGAGTGTTTAGCACGTCGCCGGCATCCTGCCAAGCCTCAACTTGCTGCAGATGGAGAACGATGCAGACCTCGGGAACGGCCAATTGCCAGACGTTCCGGCCAGGGAGGCATGCAGAGGTTGCAGCAAAGTCAACTATCCCGAACTGTTTGTGTCTAACCGCACCAGCTGCTGCACCACCTTTTCCTAGAGCTTGCAGCAGCGAAGCGCCAAAGACGAACCTTGCCGCCAGAACGACGACGTCTGCCCGGCTTCTTGCGAGCAGGAGCCCTTCCATCGGCACATGTGAAACTGGTCCCCCCCAGTGCACAGCTACACTATTCTTCTGCTCCTTGCCAAATGAGAATGCAGGAAAACTTGCTGACCGAGTGGTTGATCGATCCTTGTTGGCACGAAGTCATTGCGCCCGAACAGTTTCTTGCGAGAGGGCTTCGCCGCACCTGCTTGAGGCGGATGAAGCCATGAAGACGAAGCAGAACGAATTCATCCTCATCAGATTTACGGGCCAACTGGACGCAGACATCCTGCAGAAGGCTGCCAGACAAGATGCGCTGCATCGCTTGACCAATCCCAAAATTGAAGGGGCAAGGCAAACGAAAGACTCGTCCTTTGTCGGTGGCGTTTCGATTCGACGAGGCATGCCAAGGGCTGACGGATCGCCATGGGACCTTCCGCACCTTCTTCGAGCAGCAGGACAGCACTGCCGACTGCATGGCATCTAGTTTTGTGTGTTTTGGGGATTTTCGTAGTCTAGTGGGACCGTATACCGGCTGTACCGGCTTCTTCTCTGCAACTTGCTTGCCATCCACGAACGTTCACATGTTATACTCCGGGATAGTTAACACCGCTGATCATGGGAGGTCACTGGCGGCGAGATTCGGCAGCGGATCATCGAAGTTGGGAAAAGCCGGGTCCTCTTCGAGCATGAGCAGCTTCCCGCCGATGAGGTGCTTATTGGATTAATTTGGCAATCAATCTAGGACAGCCGTCCTCGCATCGGCTCTTGCATTGCGCAGCCTAGCAGAATAGAACACAGCTTTGCGAGTTGGACTATGTCGAGGATTTCAGTAAACTCGACGGTGCAGGCTGAGCGAATGGAAGAGTTCAAACGACAATGGCAGCAATCGTTTGATTTTTGGAGCAGCCCGCCGCTGCGCTTTGTGTTGTTCTCCAGCTGCACGGAGAGCCACCTGCTCATCCTTGGCCACCACATCTTGTGGGACGGATTCTCACTGCCGGTCATCACGGAGGATTTAGGCACGGCACTTGGGTCGATTTGTCCCTGGAATCCTTAATGCTGTAGAGCTTTTGTGCTTTTTGCCGATTCATCAACCAACGGGCACATGCTGGAAGCTACCCACCAGCACCAGCACCAGCACCAGCACCAGCACCAGCACCAGCACCAGCACCAGCACCAGCACCAGCACCAGCACCAGCACCAGCACCAGCACCAGCACCAGCACCAGCACCACCACCACCAGCATCAGCACCAGCACCAGCACCAGCACCAGCACCAGCACCAGCACCAGCACCAGCACCAGCACCACACCAGCAGCAGCAGGCGCCGCCGCAGCAGCAGCAGCAGTAGCAGCACCACCAGAACCCTCGCATCTGCCACCACCACCGCCACGGCGACGACCATTTGTCCTTTCGCGTGTAGCTTGATATCGGCCTGTCAATGTTCACAGGCCGACTTTACTGTGCACTTTGGAATGGTAGTCAACCTTCCTTGAAGAGCCTCAGCGGAACATACGCGCAGTCTGGCCCTTAAGCTGTCAACAGCCTGTGGCGATGTCCCCCAGATTTCAGGCAGTGTGGTTTGTCGTTTCAGGTTCTCGCAGAGGCAGCGAGACCGTGTCCGCTCCCAGGCGACAGAGCTCCAACAATACTGGGAACGCAGCTCGGGCAAAGTATCTTGTTCTGCGGGTCCCGACTCGGTGCGAGTCTACCTGTGTTGTCCCGCGTTGTTAAGAGAGCCAACGGCCACTCAGCGGCGTCATTCAAGACATGAAAGTAATTGCTTGCATTTGCTTCAGGCTGTTCATTCTATACTGTGTTCGGGTCGTTGCTGAACCGTGATTGACTTGACTGGACTTTTGCATGGTGATTTGCTTCGCCGCCGTGGGAGGAACATGCTTCATGTACCCAGCCAGCATGCCGAAGCCTGCAAGGTGCAACAGAACACCATGCCGAGTGGAAGCCGCTCCGTCATTGTTCGGACTGCCCAAAGGCAGGATATAGCTGGAGTTGTCGAGCCTCAATGTGGATGCCTCGCCAGTGTCAGGTGCAAGCGCCGCTCTGCGGCGAGATGCAAACCTTCGAGCTTGACAAGAAGTACTTGGACAAGCTGGAGAAAGTAGGCCAGAGCGAATGCTGGGGGTGGGCTCAAAGGGCGGCGGTGCGTGGTCGCAAGTTGATTGATTTGGAAATTTTGATTCCGCTGTTTACAAGGCAAATCAAGCCCATTCAAGATCATCATGGCAGCATTCTACATCCTGCTACGTCGAGATCTCAGGACATCGTCCTTGACGCAGTGCTTAGGGTCTGTGGCGTTCCAGGCTCCAGCTCGTGTTGTAGAAGTCATTCAATAGCAAGGAGCACTTTTCCAGACATGTATGTAAGGCAACGAGACGACGGCGGATTACCAGGTCACAGGGATGACCTACGCCAATCGGCGCGATGAGGAATACTACCAGACTGTGGGGTTCCTCGTTAGCGTGCTGCCAATTCATGTTCATGTCGATGGAGATGCTTCCTTCATGGATGTACTTCGAGCTTTGGAGGACCGGGGGATTCAAGGGCACAGCTGGTGCTCGCGAGTGCCGCCTTTTTCAAACTTCTTCGGGCCTGGATGTTCGTTCGGCCAGCAGACCTCACGTCGGAGCCAAGCGCGACGAAGCTTCATGAGGACCGCGTGCAAGGGTCCACCGAGCACGTCTTGCCGTTGAAGAATATCTACGCGTCACTGCCGCCGACGAGCACGAGGAACGGCGCCTATCAGGCATGGGTTGACAAAGTGCATGTAGGTTTGTCAGCCGGTTGGGCTCACACATGTGGAAGAATTTTTACACATCGCCCTTCAATTGTGTGCAAGGAGCCAAGTCTTCACGTTCGGCATGTCAGAAACAAGCCTTTGCAGGAATCACAGTTCCAGTGAACGGACGATCTGTGTGACCTTTGTCTTGCATGACCCTGCCTGTGGTTCCTTCGGCGTTCTAAGCGCAAAGGTTGCGCTAAAACTTTTTGCCCTATGCATAGAATGAAGTCTCAATCTCCCAGCGATGCAAGATTCGGCGGTTACATTGATGCTAACTCCGACCTTGCAGCCCCTGAGCGCCCTTAGTTGGGAATGCAGCTCAAACTCACGGAACATGTCATGGGAAGCACGGCCTTTTTAGCGTCATGACTCGCGGTTGAAACTGTGAAGCGCCAAAATGGGTAAGTAAATCCGACTCCCGATACTACAGCGTTGGTGTCGGGATCCAGAATCCAGAATGCCAGGATCGGACATGAGAGCTGGGTCGTGCACAGTTCCCTCTCAGCCATTGGCAAGTGCTCGGAAACAGTGTTCATTGTCGAAGGTTCTCGTGAACCTGAAGGCCATCGACTTTGATCCGCTGCCCGTGAAGGAGACCGGCTGCGAGGCCTTTGCATCGGTATTCTCGTGTGGCATTGGGCGTGTTTGGTTCAAAGGCTTCTGGGCCCGAAGCAGAAAGACAAAAGTCTAGTGGTCTCACGGCTTTCCAGAGAGCTGAGATCGCCGGCTTGCTCAGCGGAGCCAGCTGCCTGCATCAAGGCCCACGTGCTGGGCTATGGCTACACCATGGGAGGAAACATGACGGCCAAGGTCATGCTTCGATTTTTCAGTTCACTTGCATACCAGAACTCGACCCTGCGCAGGAGGATCTCATCTTGCAGATTGAATACGGACGCTTCTCCTTTGAGTGGAACCAGCAGAGCCTCTTAGAATTTAAGGGGCATCTCCCTTTGCAGGATGCTTGTCAGTTGGAGTTGCTGCGCTTTGGCCGGTGCTTCATGATGCTACATCATTGCTCAAGCCTTGAGGAGATTCACTGCAGCCCGTGTGAAGAGCATGGGTGAGCTGCTTCGCAGTATACTCAAACAAGTTGCGGAAGATCCCAATCTTGCGGTGTCGATGCTGGACTACAGCAGGCGGAAGCTCCCAAGTAATTACGGTCAAAGTGTCTCAGACTGAACCATCTGGGTCTGTGTCGCATCTTCAGCCCGCAAGGCTCCCAACTCGAAACCAGTACAGAGAATTTGTGGCGACATCAGGCCGGTCGAGTCTGCAATACAAGCTGAACGTGGCACTAACGTGGGCGCCCCAGTGGTGGATTACCTGCGCAAGGGTCGGAGGAAGCAAAAGGATGAGGTTTGTGCATTGTCAACACCTGAAACGTTTATTCCCTGCTTCTTTCGGCCTCTACATTTGCATCTACACGAGAGTGCCACACTCAATCCATCTCAATCCCGAACCTCGCCTTCCTCGGAACTTGGTTGCTACTTCATCAGCAAGCTTGCGACCTTGTATCAAGTGGCAATATGTTAGTGAGCGCCTTAGCACCACGGCGAACACAACTTCAACTCCCCAAGTGAACCTGTCTCCACGGATACCCCGACACAAACAACGGATCTTGCGGAAAGCACTTGACTGGACCTTTTTGCTCCGTGGCCCTGGCCGACCAGGCCGCCGCCCAAACGGCCAAGCAGGCCATGCGCTCCCTTCTCGCATCCAAGGACACACACAACAGTGTTGAGGGCTCTCTGACGGCTCTGGCTGCCCTGGGCTTCAGGCTTCAACAGGGTTCAAGGGTGCTGAATGCAGGTTGAAGGTAGAAGATTGAGCTCCGCAGCATTTTGGATATTTGCGTTTGTTTGGGTGATCGTTCGGGTGCAGGACTGCAGCACCTCAACCATCAGCACCACTCCCGCCAACCCATCTGCCAGGGTCGGGCCTTTGTCTTTGTCGCAGCCGCTTCAAGTGTTGGTGCGCTTCGCGGAGGACAAGCCATCAAGTTCGGAAGTCGGAATGCCAAATGCAGCGACGGCGCTCGGGGCATCTCCTGCTACTGCGGTTCGGAAGCGGCCCATCCTCATCGTGGGTGGAGGGGTCGCAGGACAAGGGCGTGCTTGAGAGTTAAGGGATTGCCTTCCCACAATCCTCAGCCTGTCGACTCCCAGTTTGTGTGGGAAGCTTAGAAGCTTTTGCCTGCGAGGCTCGTGCAATTTGTGATTGTGTATAGGTTGCAGTTTGAGCGTTTATCACAGCAGAATATCAACATGTGTTGCAGTTGCTGCGTGGAGCAGTGTCACTCTTTGCCTTCTTTTGGCCTGCCCCTCCAGAGTGCCCAGGTGGCAGCTCGCTTGAAGCTTCTTGTAGTACTACTTATCACAAAATTGCAGCTCGTATCTCCTGCAGGAGTAATGACGGCCACAGAATGCCGGAAGCAGAACCTGCCGTTCCTACTGGTCGAGAAGGAGGAACGCCTCGGAGGGGTCTGGTTCAACGGATGCAACAAGACATCCAGGCTGCAGACACCCAAGGAGTTTCCCAGCAGCACATTATTAAGCCGTCCCTGCCAGGTTGCTGGAATCAGTGTCGGTAGGATGCTGACAGGTGAGATGCGCTGGTGAGGGGAGGTGTCAGTGCCCCATTGTGATTCGAGGTACTACAGGATTGATCAGGCTGAGCCTTGGAAATGCGACACTGATTTCCCTGACCGCCAGCAGGCTCTCTAGTTACCTTGTCGAGACTTACGGGAGGGCCACGCCGGACTTCAGCTTTGGATGGAGGATCGACTAGCTTTGTCCTTGCAGCGGTAGGTGCTGGAGCATATCGATGCAGTGGCTCAGAACGGGGGGATCATGCCCTTCATCCGCTTCAACACGGAAGTGGTCAAGGCACCTTGACCTAACTGCCAGCCCGCCACGAAACTTTCGCGATTCGTGTGATGATGGTTCCGTAGGTAGGTATGTAAGTTGGGTGGGTAGAAGGCAGGTAGTCAGGCGTAGGTGGGAAGGTGGGTGGGTAGTTGGCAGGCAGGTGGGCAGGCGGACAGGCAGGCAGGGAGGGAGGGAGGTAGGTAGGCAGATGCGTGAGTACGAGTGTAAGCGTGCATGTAGATACGATTTTGTTTGCTTCAGACCAGGTGAATTCAGACGATGAGGCGTGCCTTTCGGTGCATCTCCGTGTCAGCGGGCAGCCCGACGAGCTTGTCGAGGCTCATATTCCGAAGCCTCGGGGTTCAGGGCTAGGGCTCAGGGTCTGGCAGCGTAGTTGTTTTTTGAAGGTGAAGCTTTCATCATGTTATCAGGCGAGAGGGGCTTCAACGGTAGGCTCGGTAGGCAGAACAGCTCAGCACTTTGGCATATACTGGATCTGCGCTCGAAAGCTGTTCAGGTGCAGGGAATCGTCGTTGCTACTGGCAAACACTCGGCGAACCCATTTGTTCCAGAGCATTCCCCGGCGGCCAAGATCGTGCACGCCTCAAAGCTGGACGACGTAGACCTTAAAGGCAAGAGTCACCTGGCCGACCTGGAGCTGTGCACGAAACAAGACCCTACAAGCGTACACATGCCGGTCCTCAGTTCGACTTGCAGGGCAGTTGTTCGTGTCGCTAAGGAGTTGTCGTTATTGGCGGTGCATCTTTCGCGGTGGAAGCAGTTAACACTGCGCATGCCGCCGGAGCATCCAAGATCCACTGGATCACTCGCAGAGTGCACTGGGTGCTGCCGACAGAGATGATGAAGGCACTGGCTTCGTGTCACAAGCAAGATTAAGCCCTTTCCATGTCTGTTGCGAATTGTGGATGCTGTTCACCAGATCGTTCTGAATCTGCAGCGTGCTCGCATTATGTACGTCGGGAACCATGTGTCTGTGCATCATCAGCAGTCAACCTTGGAGCACTGTGTGATCAGCATCAAACCTGCAGCGAATGTAATGCAGGACCTGGCGCAGCTTGTAAATGAGGATCTTGACTTGGCCAGCGACCACAGTCACCTGGCTATCTTGTGGCCCTTGGGAGCTCTCGGAGATCGCTAGCATGTCGGTAGAAGATAGTGGTGACATCAGCATCATGGCCCTGACGTCATGTCTACTCCTTTGTTCTCTTGAGTTCTCCCGCAACGATTCTGTTCTGCGCCGCAAAGTCCATGTCGTATCCCAGGTGCAAAGACCGAAAAACTGCGAAAGGCACTGTGTCGGCACTACCTCTCCAAGAATTTGCAGATCGCGATACCTGCTCCGGACCGTGTGTCGAGTGGAAAATCTCTTGAACCATGGTCGAGTTGTAACAGGTGCAGAAATACTTCGCAGATGAAAAATGGACGGCGAAAGACTTGAGGGATTCGGTTCCAAATGGTTGACCCTACAGAAGGAAACTCTAAAGCTTCGTGGCAGCAACGGCGGGCGTGGTCTTGACAACCAGGTCCATCTTTCAAGCCGTGGTTTGCCAATCCGGTTCGGAATACCGGTTTGTGTTTTGTGAACATAACGTTTACCGTGGATCTGGGAGAGTATGAGACACTTGCACTTGCTTGAGAAGAAGCCTTCTGTCATCATGGTCTGCAGAAAAGGAGAGCGGTTTTTGAGATTACAGCTCATACTCGGCGTCCAAGCTAGCATGGAGGGGTGTCACCAAGGGTTCCTGATGATTAGCGCCTTACAGTAGGGTTCAGCCGGGATTCTTGTCGTCAGGACGAGCAGTTCAGCATCAAGGTGTCGTTGAGCGATCAGTTTTTTGAGGCCGTGTGCAGTGAATGAGCATCGTGCATACTCCTTCCGGGTTTCCATCTGTGCCGCTATCCGGGCTTGCTATCCCCGACCTCAGCCTGCAGACCGAAGTCCGAATATCCTTCGAATCACCCTTGACCCCACTGCCGTCAGAACACGAACGCCCTGCCCAGGGCAATGTATGTGGTGTGTGTGTGTGTGTGTGTGAGTGTGTGTGTGTGTGTGTGTGTGTGTGAACCTCCCTAGCACATGGGAGCAGAGGGTCACTCCTACACTGTTTGCAATTTCGCTTTTCAACATAATCCGGCATTGGACATTTACCAAATCAACTGTTGCAGGGGAGTGTGGCACTTGCGTCCTACCACACTCAACGAAGCTGTGGATGCAAGTGGGAAGCGGGACCTGATCAGTCCTGTGTACCTGCATGGCAGCCCCCTGTGGTGCCAAGATTAGTTTTGAGGACAGGCCCCCTGTGGTGTCCAGATTAGACAAACAAGTTGTACGGTTGCCACAATCTGACAAAACTTTGCAACATGAACAACATGCCTCTCTCTTTTCCTCTTGCACTCGTACTCTTGGCCGAATCCATCAGTGTGATCAGCGTGGGTCGTTGAGACTCCAGAGCAACGGCTTTCCGTCATGGCGCCGTGGTGACCCTCCGGGGAGACCGGTGATGAACCGGGTGTTCAGCCTTCGTTCAGATCGTTCAGAATCTCCCGATGCTACTTTATCTCTCTCTCTCTGATGCTCGCATGTGAGTCTGACATGAGTGCAGGTGCAGTAAGGGACGGCTAATGCAGTAAAGTGCGTCTAGTGAGCAGGTGCTACCTCGCTAGTCTGCCCTCTATTCTACCGCTTCTTTATTCCTCAGGGACCGCAAGGGCATGTGCATCTGACATGAGTGCAGACGCGGTAACAGTGTCTACAGCAAGTGAAACAGCGCTCTCTTCGGAGAGTACTCGGCCCTCTTCCTTCTCTCCGTCTACGACCTCTCAAATCAGTCCAGCAGGGACAACCAGGACAGCCTGCACTTTGCTTGTGCAACTGTGTTTGTTTCACCCACTTCGTTGCAGCTATGTGGCCGGATTATTTTGCCGCGCAGCCACCAGCAACACCATATGCACCAACAGCCCGACCGGTGCTGAATCAATTTCACCCGAACACCTGGGTACCGCAGTCACAAAGCTACCCAGCAATGATGCCAACTGGCATTGCTGCCACTCAGCAGCCCACACTGCCGACACAACCCACTACGATTCCTGTTGAGCAGACGCACAGCTTCCCCATGATGCCGTGTGGACACACTGCTCCTATTCCACAGCATCCGACGGTATATACACATCTCAGCACACCACAACCCCAGATGCCACAACAACCTCCACCCCAGCAATTCATGTCACAACACCCCCCCACTTTCCTGAACCCTGCTCTATTGCCTACCCATCCAACAGTTTTTCCCACGAGCCCATCAACTCTGACACCGCATCAGCCCCAGCCTACCACATACAACCTTCCTTTTACACCACCTGCTCCACAACCCCAACCTGCACCTTGCAACATCCCTTCCACACAACCCGCTCAACAACCCCACATACCGCCGCCAACAACACTCCAACAAGCTTCACAACTTCACCCCACCAGTGTTCCCACTACCGATGCCACACACATTGCCCCGCAGACACCGGCAATGACTCCCCAACAACAACCAACAAACACAGCCAACACCCCCTCCGTCAGCACATTGCCACCCACACAACCACCCCCGGCTACGGGATCGGCAGACACCGACCAGTTTGCAGCACGTACTTCTCCCCACCATCCTCCGTTGCCACGCAGGCGACGGCGCTCACCCACACGCAGCAGAACTCGCACCGTGAGCACTAGGCGCCGACGTCGCACACGCAGCAGAGCACGACCGGCAAGCAGCGGGAGACACCACCACCGACGCAGACACCACCGATCCCGCGACACTCGCAGAAGTCGTTCTCGCAGGGACACCAGACAATCTTCGTCGACACCTCCGCGGACCTCGGTTGTGCTCCGTAGCTATTCTACAGTGCGTGATGATGATGCCAACAAGTGGCATTACAGAGCCACACAGCCACGTCAGAGGCCACCTACCCCACCCAAGGTCCCACAAAGGACATTGGCCTCGCAGGTTCAGCGAATCGCCCTTCGCATCAAGGGCAGCCAAGCAGCACAACAGCAGCCCCCAACAGGCCAGGGCACACCCTCTCGCCAACAGGTTCAGCACAATCCCTCCAGCTCTATTCGGACACCTGCCCCGATTTTTGATGCATCCACAACTGCTGCCCCATCGGGTCAGCCAACCCTCGAACAACTGGGCAAACAGAGCAGACCACCACAGATTGATGTGGCGCCTTTCTCTGAGCTTTACGATCATGAAAAGCCGACCCCCCACGCTGTCGACATGGAAGAAGCACATAAACTCGCCAAAACCTTGGGCGAGATAGCTGCTGACAGCGATTTCAGGCAGGAGACTTTAGCCGAATTTGCACATGCCGTGCTACAGTCGGGCACGCGATCAGCGTGCAACGAACTGGGGGCAACGCTGACGCCAATATCGGACGGCGTACATACTATGTTATTCATCCCGTGGGCTGGAGAGACTCGCAGAGCATTCGGCACTCGTGCCACCGACCCACCAGGGGAAACATACATCTACACCGCCGGACACGGCACGAGCATTGCAAGTGCCGCGCGCATAATGCGCGAGGACTTGGTCCGCCCAAGTTCAGTCAGCCATTGCTTCGACGACAAGTCCTATCCACCCATTCCCTCTTGCGTCATATACGGGAATGCGACCCCAGGAGATGTATCGGAAAGCACGGTACATATAGTTACCGATCAATGTACACGGCGGCCCAAGGGCCAACAGGGAGTGATCGTCATCGGGACAATACGGACTAAGTATCAGCATTACAAGATGACGTATCGGGACATGTACAGAGAAGCTTTCATCGTGGGGCGAAAGGGTGTCGTGCGGACCCCAGAGAAGTGGGGATTCCACTCGGGGCATTTCAGCATCGTTGGATTCGGCCTCATTCAGTGATGTTGCTTTCTTCTTTTTCTTCCGTGTCTTCCTTTCACTCTCGAGTATATTTTCTTCCAGGCCTGAATCCCGTTGCACATAGCTGTTTGCAATCAAGCATTTGCTCCGACACCGCTTTTGAGCCAAAGAAGAGTCGATGCAGCTGCATGCTGGATGCATCGCACAAGTTGATGTTGACACTCAAGCCAACCATGTTGCTCATGCATGTTCCATGTGCAGCTTTTGCAGTCACAGGCAATTGTAGTGCCCCATTGTGCAACCATGTACAAGCCGACACAGCCTCAGTGGCATACAACAATGCCAACAGGCATCATCGGTACAGCAATCAGTACGGTGCAGCGACAAACAGCCTCGACCAGTAGCACCCCAATGCACCCGATCTCCCCACCACCAGGGATTCACAACATCCCACCACACACCTCACCCCTAACCCCGACTACTTGGGGTTCAGCTCACACTTACAGCCACAACACCACTTTCCCACCTTTCCCTCCACCCCCTCCCCCACCCCAGCAGTTTCCCGGCCCAACATCACCCACCACACTGCCAACCCCCACACCTGCCACTCCCCAACACACATTTGTGAGTCCATCTTCGATGACGACTCGAAACCCCAGCATTTCTTCACATACATTACCTCAGGCCACCGTCACACCCCAACAACAACAACACCCCAATCCCACGCCTACAAATCCCCAGATACCAAACGACTTCGTTCAAACACCAGAGCATTGGGACAACAGGCAGCTTTTTGGCCTCAACCTACCCAAACACATTCAATCTACACCACATTCAGTGCACAACCGCACGGCAGGCATGCCAATCGCAACAGCACCATTGGTCGCATTTCTGCGACACAATTGGTCCTCGTACTGGCTACGGTACGCCGCACACGGCTTCGACATCCATCTCACATGCAGCAAACACATCAGCGAAGCCGTCTTTACCACTGAACTTATGGGTCAACTCCGAGCAAGGAGAATTGATCTGGACCAAGCGGCCACCGCATTCTGCTGGCAAGAAAAGCTCACACTCGCAAAACGACCAGCAATGTCACACCTCATCAAGGAATTGGTGTTGTACCTGCAAGAGCTGCAGGACCAGTACAATGATGGCAACAAAAAGGACAAGCAAGATGTCAAATCTGACACAGACAACACACAATCGCAACCCACCGAATCTCCAACACCACTACAATCCAGCAAATCACAACCTCATCTCCCACTTCAACCTTCGCAGCCGACAGAGGCAGACACTATGGCGGCACATCGCATCAGCGACCTGGAAGCACGACTTTCCACAGCACTGGAGACAATTGAAACTCTCCGTGCTCCGGATGCACACAATGAGGCACCCAGCACACCAGCACCAAAGAAACCAAAACGAACCACCGCACCCAGCACTCCCATCAACACGCCCTCTCCACCACCTCTCTCACTTTCCACAATTGAGATTTCCCCCACCACAACCACTCGTGGACAAAAACGTGCTACCATCGATGACTCTACACACACCGACACCAGGCCTACCACTGATGGCCTCTCCCCTTTCACCACAACCGCTGCAGAACAAGACAACAACCCGTTACATGCTTCCCCAGCATCGTCATCCACCACAGGTATGCACTTTCCGGGACGCTCCACTCTGGGCGCCAAGCGACAGAAGCAGTCAACTCTTACACCAACGAAGGCGGCACCCCTCGATCCCAAGATGGATCCCCAGCGCATCTTTCAGCAGCCTACAAAAGCCAGTGTTTGGTTTCAAGATCATTTCACTGGCGTTCACTCCGAATCCGGCATCACCAGATGGTTTGGTGCCATCAAAGGCATCAGCGACAAACAAAAAACACAGGTAAAAAAGTACCTTGACATTGTTGCTTCGGAATTCCCTTCACTCAGCAACTCACAAGAGCAGACACTGCAGACCGCTGCAGTCGCTT